CAGCCAGGGCTGTTTAAATGCTTCCCGGCTGGTGTGGCTCAGTGGTTGAGCATTGACTCATACACCAAGAGGTTGCCCATTTGATTCCCAGTCAGGGCACATGCCCGGGTTGTGGGTCAAATCCCCATTGGGGAGCATGCAGGAAGCGGCCAATCAGTGTTTTCTCTCATTGATGTTTCTCTCTCTCTCTTTTTAAAAATTTTTTTTTCTTTATTGATTTGAGAGAGAGAGGAAGGGAGAGGGAGAGATAGATAGAAACATCAATGAGAAAGAACATCGATCGGCCCATGCTCCGCACTGGGGATGGGGCCCACAACCTGGGCACGTGTCCTGGCTGGGAATTGAACGAGTAACCTTTTGGTGCATGGGTCGATGCTCAACCACTGAGCCCTACCGGCCTGACTTCTCTCTCTCTTTCTTCCTCTCTCTCTAAAACCAATAAAGAAAAAAAAAAGTCCTTAAGTGCTGAATTCACATATATTAAAGATTCTTTTAGCTGTCTCATTTTCCACATTGATTTGCTCTAGCCAAACATTTTTTTTTTGTCTGTACTCTAGGACATTTTTGCATTTATCCTCAGATAGAGTGAGAGGAAGAGAAAGAGAGAGAAACATCAATGTGAGAGAGACACATTGACTGGCCGCCACCCACACAACCCCAATGGGGGCTGTGGGCAGACTACAACTGAGGTACGTGCCCTTGGAGGGAACCGTACCTGAGTCTCTCTAGTCTTTGGGCTGACGCTCTAACTGCTGAGCCAAACTGGTCAGGGCTAGCCAAACATTTTTATAGGTAGTATAGAAGTCACTTCCTTTTTTTAAGTTTATATGGGCCCCGACCTGCTTGGCTCAGCGGTTGGAGCATCGGCCTGTGGACCAATGAGTCACGGGTTGGATTCTGGTAAGGAGCGCATACCTCGGGCCAGGTTGTGTGGGAGGCAACCAGTCGATGTGTGTCTCTCTCATGTCAATGTTTATCTCTCTCCCTCCCTCTCTCTCTCTCTCCCCCTTCCTCCCACTCTATCTGATAATAAATAGAAAAAATATCCTCAGATAAGGATTAAAAAAATAAAAATAAAATGGAAAGTTATGAATTAGTAATGGTTAGATTGATATGATTTTATCATATCAGAAAGTGAAACAACAGATGGTATTTTAATTTTTATTATTTAAACTAAATACTTCCCTCCATCCCCCTTTATGAGAAATACTTATAGGGTTGTTTTTCTGATCTAAGTTCCATTTAAAGTTTTGGAGATATGAAGCATTAGAAGTGGGTTAATGGTAGATGTTAGGACTGGCTAGATTTGAGACAACTTTGTTATATTGTCTAGAATTTGTCTTTTAGTTCTAATGTTGAAGGAAAATATCAACCATTTCCAAGAGAAAAATTCTATATTAAATATTTTAGGTGCTCGCTTCGGCAGCACATATACTAAAATTGGAACGATACAGAGAAGATTAGCATGGCCCCTGCGCAAGTATGACACGCAAATTCGTGAAGCGTTCCATATTTTTATCATCAGAGAGATGCAAATTAAAACAACAATGAGGTATCACCTCACACCTGTCAGAATGGCCACCATCAACAAATCATCAAACAAGTGTTGGCGAGGGTGTGGAGAAAAGGGGACTCTAGTGCACTGCTGGTGGGAATGCAGACTGATGCAACCACTATGGAAAACAAAATGGTGTTACCTCAAAAAATTAAAAATTGAACTTCCATTTGACCCAGTGATTCCACTTCTAGGAATATACCCTAAGAAGCCTGAAACACCAATCAGAAAGAATATATGTACCCCTATGTTTGTAGCAGCACTATTTACAATAGCTAAGATCTGGAAACAGCCCAAGTGTCCATCAGTAGACGAATGGATAAAAAAGCTGTGGTACATATACACAATGGAGTACTATGCAGCTGTAAGAAAGAAAGATCTCTTATCCTTTGAGACTACATGGAAGGACCTGGAAAGTATCATCCTAAATGAAACAAGCCAAACAGAGAAAGACAAGTTTCATATGATCTCACTTATTTGTGGAATATAATGAACATAACAGTCTGAGGAATGGGGTAGTCCCAGAGATGCGGAAGTGGGGTACAGACTGACAATCCCCAGAAGAGGGGGATGGTGGGGGAGAGATAAACCACAGAACTTATATGCATATATGCATGAACAGTGGACATGGACAACAAACTGGGGAAAGGGCAGGGAGGGAGTGGGAGGGGGGAATCAGTGGGGGGAAAAGGAGAAACATCTGTAACAAAAATTAATTAATAAAAAAAAATTAGAACATGAAAAAAAAGATTCACTAGAGGACAAGCAAAAAAAAAAAAAATTTAGTATGCTTAAAACTACATACTGATTAAGACATTCAAACTACTTCAAATTTTAATTTGCGTATCATCATTGCCAGACATTAGCAAGAAACATGTTATTTGGTGATTAAATACTGTGGTCGCAAAACAGAACAATGTTTAAAACAAAGATGTTTGTAGTAGAGTCCGGTAGTTAAAAGCATGGAGTTTGGAGTAAAAGAACCCTGGATTCATGAACTATGTACTTTCCTGAGCCTCTGTTTCTTCGTATATAAAATGAATTAACATTAGTAACTACCTCCTTAAGTTTCTGTGAGGATTAAGTCAGATAATATATATAAAGGGGCTAGCTTAGTGCCTGGAATGCAATAAATACTGAACAAAATGGCAACTCTTAGCATCATAGTCCATCATACTTCTGACTGAGATCAGGCCCTACTCTTTGGGAAGCCAACAGTCATGTTAGAAAAACCCTGAAGGATAACATTTAATTGGAAATACTGAAAGGAATTCTCCATTTAACTTTTACTTCTCATCTCTGATTTTCATTGTAAATAAAAATTATGACCCTGGCCAGTTTTGCTCAGCAGTTAGAGTGTTGCTCTGCAGACCAAAGGGTCATGGGTTCTAGTCCTGGTCAAGAGCACATGCCTGGGTTGCAGGTTTGAGCCCTGGCCCCATTTGGGGTTGTGTGGGAGGTGACCAATTTATGTTTCTCTATTACATAGATGTTTCTCTCTCCCTCCCTTTCTTCCACTCTCTAAAAAACAATGGAGGAATATCCTTGGGTGATAAGAGTCTTGTATGTGTCTTGTAGTTTTCATACTTAAAATATTTTTACTAGAACTATAGTTTCTGAGGTCAACTTATATTACTTCTTCCTTCTTATTTATAAAATAATCTCCTAATCTCACCCATATTAATGGAAGAATACTTTTGGTTATTTGAAATTAATATAGGCATACCTTGGAGATATTGTTCATTTGGTTTCAGACCATCACAATAAAGCGAGTCACACAAAGTTTTTGGTTTCCTAGTACATACAAAATTATGCTTATAATATCTTATAGTATAGTAAGTGTGCAATAGCATTATGGCTAAGAAAACAATGTACATACCTTAATTAAAAAGTACTTGATTACTACCCTGGCTGGTTTTGCTCAGTGGTTAGAGCATCGGCCCATGGACTAAAGAGTCTCGAGTTCAATTTTGGTCAAGGGCATGTACCTCAGTTGTGGTTCAGTCCCCGGCCTTGGTTGGGGTTGTGCGGGAGGCAACTAATCGATATGTCTCTCTCACGTCGATGTTTCTCTCTCTCTGTCTCTCTCTTTCTCTTTCTCTCTCTCTCTTTTTCCCTCCCACTTTATCTGAAGATAAATGGAAAAATATCATTGGGTGAAGATTAAGAGAAAAAAAATACTTGATTACTAAAAAATGTGAACCATCATCTGAACCTGTTGGAAAAATGGTGCCAATAGATTTGTTTGATGCAGGATTGCCACAAACCTTTAATTTGTAAAAACAAACAAAAAATACTCACCCACAATATCTTCAAAGCATGATAAAGCAAAGTTCAATAAAATGATGTATGCCTGTATTGAGAGGTATCAAAAATAAGTAATGCCAACACCAAAGAGAACACTCATGGATCATTCAAATGACCTCTGAGGACCCATAATGTTATATAGATCACATTTTGAAAACTGTTGCTATAAATATGTCAGCCTATAAGATGATTTCCTTCACGTTATTTTGCCTATATAGTTATAGTCATTTGTAAACAAAACTATATTATGTTGGGTGAAAAAAAATGAGACCCACTTAAAGTGGTATAATATAAAAATATTTCAGCCTGGCTGGTGTGACTCAGTGGATTGAGCGTCATCCTATGGACTGAGAGGTCCCGGTTCAATTCCTGGCCAGGGCACATGCCCGGGTTGTAGATTCTATCCCCAGTGGGGGGCATGCAGGAGGCAGCCAATTGATGTTTTTTTTTCACATCAATGTTTCTTTTTTTTTTTTTTTATCCTCCCCCAAGGACATTTTTGCATTTATCTTCAGATAGAGTGGGAGGGAGAGAGGTGAGGGGAGAGAGAGAGTGCAACATCAATGTAAGAGAGACACATCTACTGGTTGCCACCCACACAACCCCAACCGGGATAGGGACAAACTGCAACCGAGGCACATGCCCTTAGCAAGAACTGAACCCAGGACTCTCTGGTCCACAGGCCAACACTCTAACCGCTGAGCCAAACTGGCCAAGGCTCACATCAGTGTTTCTATCTCTCTCTTCCTTTCTCTCTAAAAAGTCATTAAAAACATATGTTAAGCCCTGGTCGGTTTGGCTCAGCAGTTAGAGTGTCGGCCTACAGGGCGCGTACCTTGGTTGCAGTTTGTCCCCGGCCCTGGTTGGGTCGTGTGAATGGCAACCACTCGATGTGTCCCTTTCACATTGATGTTTCTCTGTCTCTCTCTCCCCAACTCTATCTGAACAAAAAATGGAAAGATGTCCTCTGGTGAGGATAAAAAAATAAAAAAAATTAAAAACATATTTTAAAAAATATTTCATTCACAAAGCATGAAAATATTAAAACCTCAGGGAAAAAAAATAAATATTTTTAGGTATTTCTAATAATCAGAAACTTAGGCATAAGCATAAAATTATTTTGTGTTTATTTTTACAGGTATCCCTTGGAATTTCACATTTAATGTAAAGTTTTATCCACCTGACCCAGCACAGTTAACAGAAGATATAACAAGGTAAATAATTTATTAGTAGTTAAATATGTTATAAGTAATTCTCAGTATCATAAACTCTGGAAATTTCTCTTCAGAATTGAAGAAAAATGATGAGCTATTAAACCCAAGATAGAAAGTTTCAGAGCCAGACAATCTTTATTACTATCTAACATTGAGCCAAGCTTACCTTTTGAGGCTGACTCCTCATCTTTTTTAAAATTTATTTAATTTATTGATTTTTAAAAATCCTCACCTGAGGATATTTTTTCCTTTATTTTCAGACAGAATGGGATGGGGAGAGAGAGAGAGAGAGAAAGAAACATCAATGGGAAAGAGACACATAAACTGGTTGCCTCCCACAAGACCCCGACCAGGGCTGGAGACCAAACTGCAACCGGGGCATGTGCCTTTGACCAGAATCGAACCCGAGACTCTTTGGCCCGTGGACCGACGCTCTAACCGCTGAGGCAAACTGGCCAGGGCCTCATCTTTTTTGTTGTTGTTGTTAATCCTCACTCGGGGATATTTTTCCATTGGAAGGGAAAGGGTGAGAGAGAGAGAGACCGACTGACAGAGAAAGAAAGGAACATTGATGTGTCTGAGAGACACATTAATTGGTTACCTCCTGCATTACCTTAACCAGAGCCAGGGATTGAACCTTCAAGCCAGGTATATGCCCTTCACTGGGAGTCAAACTTGCGATCCTTCGGTCTGAGGGCCAATGCTCTAACTCAGTGGTTCTCAACCTTCCTAAAGCCGTGACCCTTTAATACAGTTGCTCATGTGGTGGTGGCCCCCAACCATAAAATTATTTTTGTTGCTACTTCATAACTGTAATTTTGCTACTGTTGTGTCTTAGGTGACCCCTGTGAAAGGGTCGTTCGACCCAGAAAGGGGTCACGACCCACAGGCTGAGAACCGCTGCTCTAACTACTGAGCCAAACCAGCCAGGGCCTGACGCCTCATCTTATAATGTAACAATGATTTCCCCCCACAAGTTTTTTGTGAAGGTTAGATGAATTAATATATGTATATATGGTTCTTATTGCACTCAACAAAACATTAGTTTCTTTACCTCCTTCAGACTTTTCTCAACTTTTCCTCTTTTCTTTCTAAACTTCTTTCCAACCATGACTCCAACATAGTTACAGTTTTTTTTTTAAATATGGAAAAATTTCAAACACAGAAAAGAACAAATAACAATGCAAGGAGCAACTGTAAACCCACTACCTACATTGAACAATTATTAATATTATATCATATTTACTTAATCACTTTTATTTTCTCTCTTTCTTCCCCTTTCTCTCCTTTTCTTCCCTTTTCTTTGTTTTGTCATTGTTGTTGCTGACATGGTAACATCTTTTCTTTTTTTGGCTATAGATATTACTTATGTCTTCAACTTCGGCAGGACATAGTTGCAGGACGTCTGCCCTGTTCCTTCGCAACCTTAGCATTATTAGGTTCTTATACTGTCCAATCTGAGCTGGGTGATTATGACCCAGAACTCCATGGTGCAGATTATGTTAGTGATTTTAAACTGGCTCCAAATCAGACCAAGGAACTTGAAGAGAAAGTCATGCAACTGCATAAGTCATACAGGTAAATATGTCTCCAGTTTGTTCTGTGTTTGTTTTGGCAATAAGTTTAAATTCTTGACCTGGTATTGATTCACTGCTTGCTTTAGTGGGAACTGGTGCCATAGAAAGAGTCAGCATGAGCCCAATTCCCTCCTAGTTCATTTAAATCCTCTGAATCTCAGTTTTCTCATCAGAGTAATGGGTGTTGCATTGTAAGAGAAAACTAAATGAGCTAATATATATAAAGCACTAGGCACAGTGTCTCTGGCACATAGTAGGTGCTCAATAAATGGTAGCTATTATTATTATTGCCTTACCTTATTTTTTCACATTTTAAACTTATGCTATATTGAGTGTCTTGAGATCCTTAAAGTAGATTTTTTAACCTGAGGCCTGTATACATGGATAGACTTCAGAGGGCCCATGAAATTCCTGGAGATATTTTTTAAAGTATTAAAGTTATTGTTTTTTTTAATGGAAATGATTGGTAATGTTGGGAGGTATTATAATACATTGTTCAAGAGCAAGTGTTTATAGTCATACTGAGCTGGGTTACATTTTTGCCTCTGCTTTATCCTAGCCTTGAGACTTTGAGACATTTATTTAATCTCTCTGAGCCTCGGGTTTTTTACATGTCTGATAGAAATTATTTACAATATAGGAAATAGGGTGGTTGCTAGGATTAGAAAAGATAATGTGGGGGGAAACTTAATACAATGTCTCACATAGTAAAAATTCAATACATTTTTATTCATTTAAATTCAATACATTTTTACTCATTTTAGCTCATTTAAAGTGCCAATATAATTTTTTTTCTTACTATCATACATCTCATTGTTATATGACTTGCTATAACTAAATTTTGCAAGCTGCTTTAACATACTAAGGTGAATGTCTTATCTTGACCTTGAGTTAGTACCCTGAATTATGTTAGCATGAGTTAGGTTATGATATTCTAGAGGGTCACAGATAGTCTTATAGGCTTTACATGGTAGTAATAAGTATTTTATCTAGTCATTGAACAATCTTGTTTTCCTTGGAGTGGTTCCAAGAGGATTACATGGATTGAGATGCTTCAAGGAAGAGAGCTTTAACTCAAGGTGCCCCAGTTCTTGCTGCCTTATTGTCCCTATAGGTTCTGGTATATCAGTCATGAGAACCATAAGGGTTTTAAGTCTACAACCTACATAGCAATAGCCTTGTAAGAATCACCCTACTCTCATGGAGACACACTGTTTCCAAAGAGAACTATGAATTAATATCTAGAACCCACTAGATATACCATTTTCAACTTGTTGATAATTGTAACTTAAGGATGTTGCATTGTCCTTAAACACATTTTTAATATTTTTATTTATATTCTGATTATGACTCTAGGAAATTTTTATATATATAAAAAAATATATAGATTCACACACATATATCCATACAAAAGCAAGTAGTGGAGAGAAACAATCAAAATAATTGATTTGATTATAAATAATTTGATAATTATTTATAATTATAATTAATTTGATTTGTTAGAGTGTCAGGATTATAGGGGAATATTCTTTTTAGTTTCTAATAGTTTAACAGTAATTTTTATTATTTGTAGTATAATCTTTGGGCAATCAGTAAAATAGTAAAAGAAAATATTTTACTGTTGCTGTGTAGCCAAATAGTGGATGGTGTAAGATTATGTTAGATACCTTAAATCTATCTCTGATGGTTGTTTTTTTTTATCCTTACTCGAGGACATTTTTGCATTTATCTTTAGTTAGAGAGGAAGGGAGAGAGAGAAAGAGAAACATCAATGTGAGAGAGACACATTTACTGGTTGCCACGCACACGACCCCAACCGGGGCTGGGGACAAACTGCAACCGAGGTACATGCCCTTAGCGGGAATCTAACCTGGGGCTCTCTGGGAACCGAACCTCGGGCTCTCTGGTCTGTGGGCTGATGCTCTAACTGCTGAGCCAAACTGGCCAGGGCTCTTTGATGGTTCTTTTACTGGTTATTTGATCAAATAGAATGGGAGGACTTTACATCTAACTCTTATCCAATGCTTGACTCTTCTTTGTAGCATTATTACACAATCATACTAATTATAAGCAACTAATTATTATAACAAAGTTAACATATTAGAGCAGATTGAATGTAGAAGCAGATAGGAAAATCTAGCTTAAGCCAGACATTTAAAAATTTGTAAATATATAAATATATAAAACAATGTCTTTTTGCTAAATTTTTTGGAAAATATTGTTAATTTTCACACAAAAAGTTATATTAAAATGTGAATTTATTATTATTTAAAGATTTAATAAATACCATAAAATTTTCTTAGTTTTAATTTCTAATATAGTAAATATTGATAGAAATAACCTACATAAAGCAGCAGTTTTCATCTCATGGCACATAAACTAATTACTGAAATTCTGTGATACACGAAAATATATTTTTTACCAATCTGACAAAAAAAAATAGGTATAATTTTGATTCATACCGGACAGTTATTGTGTTGGCTATAATCATTTTTTAAATTTGACAATCTAAGGTGAAAAAGGTCTGTGCCCCTGACTAAATAGCCAAGTATTGCATGTTTTAAAAATCTTTGCAGCACACTGGTTGAAAATCACTGACATAAAGGAAAACTCTTTGGAGTCCTCAAAAATTGTTAAGAGAGTGAAGGGATCCTGAGGTAAACAAGTTTGAGAACCACTGGGTTAGGTAATAAGACAGATGCATGGGCTCTGAAGTCAGCCTATCTTTGAATTCAGACAGCATTCCTTAGTAGCTTTAAGTTACTTACTGAAGCTGTGCTTTAAGCTTCAGTTTTCTGATCTGAAAAATAAGGGTGATAATGTGAACTTTACGATTGTTATACCATAAAATTCATGTAAAGTGCTTAGCATAATGATTAGTATGCAGTGAGAATTCAGATGTTTGCTAGGATAATAATAATTTTTGTCCCTATTTTATGTGATGAATGTGAATCTGGGTTTAGAGAACGCCTTTTTGGAACTTAACAGAATTTAAATCCCAAAAGGTGAAACGATCTTAGAGAACAAATGGATATGGTTCAGTTGATATTTTGTTAGGTATATGGATAGATTGAGCAATCATCAATCTCCATGACTAGTACATTTAGCAGTCTGTCATCTTGGAATTAATTTGTTCCTTTTTAGAACGATTTGTAACCCTCACAAACAGAAAGCCAAATGGAAGTTTTAATTATGTCCAACAATGAAGCATTTTACTATGCATTGAAAAATAAAAGCCAATACCACCCTGCTTCTCAGATAGGTAAAAGACAGCCTACGTATATGGAACCCTTATTAGTGGCCCTTTGCCCAGATAGTGACTTTGAAACTATAATTAACACTTTCAATTCACACCAGCACATCAAGTTTAAAAATTAATTGCCCTTCATTTATGGGTTCTATGACTTATCAATTGCCACCCTTAATTATTTGAAGTCACAGTCCTTAATTAAGAAATGCGGGACTTCCGGTCAAGATGGCAGCGTAGGTAAACGCGGTATCGCGTCCTCCCACAACCACATCAAAGTTACAACTAAACTACAGAACTACCATCATCCAAAACCGCCTGAAATCAAGCTGAATGGAAGTCCTACAACTACGGAATTAAAAAAAAAAAAGCAGCCACATCCAGACTGGTAGGAGGGGCGGTGGCGTGAGGGGTGGCGGCGGCGCGCGGCGGCGAGACGGGCTGGTCCCTCACCCACGTGTGGCGGATAAAAATCAGGAGGCTCCCGTTGCTGGGAAGGTCCTTCCTGAGGACTGAGGGTTCCCCGTCCCACACCAGGTGCCCTGCTCAGGGTTCCAGTGCCAGGAAGAGAATCCTCATCACTTCTGGCTGGAAAAACCAGCGGAAACTGAGGCTCAGGGAAGCTGACGCGGCTGGAGCCCCAGGCAGCTCCCTAAAGGGCCCGCGCACGGATTTATCGGGAGAGACTCTCTCCCTCTAAGCTCGGAGGGGAGGCAGCTCGAGGGGCGCCAGAGACATACAGGGAAGAACTGAGCTGTTTGGCACTGGAGTGAGGGCTGGAGAGGGGGCTTCCTCGGGGACAAACGTGCTGTCAGAGGCCTTTGTTCCTTTAGTGAGCCCTTCCCTGGGGCGGCAGACAGAAGCCATATCTGGGACTCCAACAACCTGGCTCACACTGGTAGCCCCACCCTGCTGACTCCCTGAGGCCCCGCCCCGCCCCACCCAACTTTCAGGCCCACCCAAGCTGTAGCCACTTGCTTAACCATAGGATTGGCCTGTCTTGGATCCTGCTTCAGGTTTTTCCTAAATTCTTTCAAACGAGCAGCATCGGGTCTCAGCGAGCCCCATACCTCTCATTAAGTAATACACAGAAACAACCACAGGGAGGCAGCCAAAATGAGGATACAAAGAAACAGGTCCCAAATGAAAGAACAGAACAAAACCCCAAGAAAAGAACTAAGCGAAATGGAGATAAGCAACCTAACAGATGCTGAGTTCAAAATACTGCTTATAAGGATGCTCAATGAACTCAGTGAGGGCCTCAAGAGCATAAAAAAGCTCCAGTCAGAAATGATCGATGCACAGTTAGAAACGAAGGAGGCTTTAACTGAAATAAAGAATAATTTACATAGCTTCAATAATAGAGTACGTAAATCTAAGAAGCAAACCATCGATTTGGAATATAAGGAAGCAAAAAACGTCCAATCAGAACAGCAAAAAGAAAAAAGAGTAAAAAAAAATGAGGATAGTGTAAGGAGCCTCTGGGACAACCTCAAGCGTGCCAACATTCGCATCTTGGGAGTGCCGGAATGAGAAGAGAGAGAACAAGAAATCAAAAACCTGTTTGAAACAATAATGGCAGAAAACTTTCCTAACTTGGTGAAGGAAACAGACATACAAGTCCAGGAAGCACAGAGAGTCCCAAACAAGATGAACCCCAAGGGGCCCACACCAAGACACATCATCATCAAAATGCAAAAGGTTCAAGACAAAGAGAGAATCTTAAAAGCAGCAAGAGAAAGGCAGCTAGTTACCTACAAGGGAGTTCCCATTAGGCTGTCAGTTGATTTCTCAAAAGAAACTTTGCAGGCCAGAAGGGAGTGGCAAGAAATATTCAGAGTGATGAAAACCAAGAACCTACAACCAAAACTACTCTATCCTGCAAAGCTGTCATTTAGAATCGATGGACATATAAAAACTTTCCCAGACAAGAAAAAGTTAAAGGAGTTCATCACTACCAAACCGTTATTATGTGAAATGGTGAAGGGTCTTTTTGAAGAAAAATATAAAATGTATGAATAAACAAAATGGCAATGAATACATATCTATCAACAATGGAATCTACAAACAAAATGAACAGGAAGAACAGAAATATTCTCATAGATACAGAGAACATTTTGTTGGTTGCCAGTTGGGAGGGGGGTTGGGGGAATGGGTGAAAAAGGTGAAGGGATTAAGAAGCACAAATTCATTGCTAGACTGACAAACCTCAAAGGGAAAGGAGTTGGGGGGGGTGGGAAGAGATAAACCAAAGAACTTATATGCATAACCAATGGACACGGACAATAGTTTGGGAAAAGGTGGGAGGGGGGCGGGAGTGGGGAGGAGGGGGTCAATGGGGGAAAAATGTGGAACATCTGTAATACGTTTTACATCCAACAATAAAGATGTGAAAAAAAAAAAAAAAAAGAAATGCAACAAACATTATTAAAAGGCTTTCATATAACACTGGAACTTACTGAGTGGCTCTATATCCTGACCCCACTGGCTCAAAATAAATACAGGGAAACTCTGTTATGACTTTCCTTTTTAATAAACAAGAATTAACCAGTGCCAAAGTTCCCTGGTTAGGTACTTTTGTAAGCCGAAGTACTTTTCAAGTTGTAAATTATTAGGTGGTACTTAATATATTCATGACAGTACTCTTAAAGGTTTAGAGGTATCTAATCTCTTCCCAGCTAATTTGTTATTACTTTCAAGAGTCTTGGAAAACTTGGAAAAGGCCATGATCTTAACATTTTAAGTTAAAAATACTTTAAGTTTGCCTGGCTGGTGTGGCTCAGTGGATTGAGCGTCATCCCATGGACTGAGAGGTCCCCGTTCGATTCCTGGTTGGGGCACATGCCTGGGTTGCTGGCTTGGTCCCCGGTAGGGGGCGTGCAGGTGACAGCCAGTCGAGGTCTCGTTTTCACATGGATGTTTCTATCTCTCTTTCCTTTTCTCTCTCTAAAAAATCAATAAAAACATATTTAAAAAATACTTTAATATGTGATATTACATTTATAAAACTTGTTATAGTTACATGCACAGATGTCTGTAGATGGTGGGACTATAGATTTTTTTTCTGTGCTCTTAATGATATTTTCCAAATTTTATAATCAGACTGGAAAAGACTAAAGGGACATGAACTAAATAAAACTTGTGGTGCTAAACTGGATCCTTTGACTATACAGAACATTTTTTAAACTGACTAAACTTGGATGGGATCTGGGGATTAGATGGCAGTAGTATATTAATATTTCCTGGTTTTGACAATTATATTGAGGTTATGTAAGAAAACGTCCTTGTTTGTAGCAATTACACACTAAAATATTTGGAAGTGATGGGTCATCAGGTTGACAATTTACTCCCAAGGTTCAGGAAAAAATTACTTATAAGTAACTTAAAATTTTATTTTTCAATTACAGTTTACATTCAACATTATTTTGTATTAGTTTTCATATTATAGGTAACTTTTAAGTTTGTTTTAAAATTTTTAAGTTATATTATTTTTAACTTATAAGGAAAGTTATAGTTTTAAAGATTAAAGACCTCTTCTTACTACCTGCCCATAATACAATTTTAAATCATGCTTACTCAGCAAAAGCATCTAACCATATAGTTTGAAATTTAAATCTGTATTCAAATTGACTGACCCCATTAATGTTCCTTAGAGTTAGAGGAGTGAATATAGGAAAGATTTTATCATGATTGCTTCATTTAATGTTTTAAAATTTGTCTTCAAATTCAAGTGGTTAAAATTAGCTTTTATGAGCTGCATAAGACATATCACTGTACCATCAGAAACCTAAGGTTGCAATAATAATAAACATTTAGATGTTACAAAGCATTTCACAACCATTACCTCATTTTGTTTTAGCAGTCACATTTATTCATTCATTCAGCAAAGACAAAAAAGCCATTGCTTATCCTAGTGTCTGAAAGTAGATATTATTTTGATTTTTACTTTATAGTTGATATTGAAGGAGACTCCAGGTCACCATTTTTAAGTACAGGAGCCAGGATTCTAGTTCAAGTGATATAACTTGAGTCCTGATTAAATCCTGCTGCCCTAAACAAGGAGTCATAACTTGCCCAGACTATGTGATCCCTCAGGGCCTGTTTTCTTCATCAGCAAAATGAAGTGGACTTTGTAATCTTCAAGCTCCATTCCAGTTTCAAAATCCTAACATTCAAGCCATCAACAATAGTAACAATGAAAACCATAAAATGACATTTATAACTATAAAAGTATATAACTTATGTAGTATGGAAAAACTACAAAACTTTCCTGAGATGTTTTTAATGACTTGAATATACAGACTTGTAAATGTCTTAATTTTTCCTTTCTCCTTTTTTTGTCTGTGTTCAGTTTCAAATCCATTAATAAGTAGAATTTAGGTGTGATAGTGCAGTGCTTGTGAAAAACAGTTTATTCAAGGAAGCTGAGACATTAACAACTCTGCTGCCTCTCTCCTGAGATTTGGGGGGGGGGGGGTGTTGTTCCAAGGAACCCTTTGTTCTTTTTAATGAGGGTAAAGACAGATGGGTTTGGAAGAGACTTTTTCCTCTTGTTAAATGAATAGGCCACTGCTGCTTTCTATAGCTTGAGGCAGTCTTATGGGAAACAGGCATTTCCATGGTTTTTCTTTGGGGGTGTGGGTGTATTATTGTTACTTTGAAGTTATATTTGATTGGTCTGAATTGTGATAGGACTGACGTCTTTCTCTTCAAAGATCAACATAACTTCTCATGAGCACTTTTCAAAAGAGGAAAGTTAAAAAGGAGAAGGAAAGACCATCACAGTGAGTGTTTAGACAGTGAGACTGATTGTTTTCAAACAAATCGAATTCATTATATGCCTAGTAATGAAGACATCTTAATAACAGAGAAAGCAGCCCCATTATCTACATGCTTCTGTTAACCAATTTATTTTGTTTAGATCAGTGGGCAGGAACACCATCTGTTACCAGAAATTTTTTTCATCAAGCCTGCCCCCATTAAGTCTCCAGTTAAGTAACTTCAGCTGCCCTCCTGTTTAATTTCCATAATAACTCAATTCAGGGGTATGAAAGGCAGAGAAAAAAAGGCAGCTAAGAGGATATTGTAAATTGTATCATGCCCTCAGAGAATTTAATTTGGTCACCCCCTTAGCAAGAAAAATTAGTGGGAGGAGTTTGTGTGTTGGAGGAAAAGGCTGAGGAGAGGGAGGGGCAGAACTGATGGTGAATGAGGCCACTTTAAGGAAATTGTTTAGTAGGATTTTTTAAAAACCTTTTTTCTGATAGCTTTTTTTGTTTGTTTTGTTTAGAGAGAGGGGAAGGGAGAGAGAGATAGAAATATTGATGTGAGAGAGAGACATCGATTGGCTGCCTCCTGCATGCCCCCCCACTGGGGATTGAGCCCACAACCCAGGCATATGCCCTGACGAAATCAGACCAGGACCTTTCAGTTCATGGGACGATGCTCAATCCACTGAGCCACACTGACTGGCCTCTGATAGCTTTTTTTTTTAATCCTCATCTGAGGACATTTTCCCATTTATCTTCAGATAGAGTGGGGGAGAGAGAGAGAGAAACATTGATGTGAGAGAAACACATAGATTGGTTGCCTCCGGCATGACCCTAACCAGAGCTGGGGATGAACTACAACCGAGGTACGTGACCTTGACCTGAATCGAACCTGCAACTCTTTGGTCCTCAGGCTGGCGCTCTAACCGCAGAGCCAAACCACCAGCTTTTCTGATAGCTTTTTGATGGACTTTTTGTTTCTGTAAGATCTCTTATTTTAAGAGTCATTTTCCATAATACTCTACTTTCAGAACTATGAACTATATCTACATACATATTGTGTTTTATATATATATGTTTATGTGTTTATATAAAATACAGTTATTATACAAATGTTATTTTAAATGTTGACACTGACCTGAAAGAGTTTTAAATTTGTATTCTGTCAAAGGTCCATGACTCCAGCTCAAGCTGACCTGGAATTTCTTGAGAATGCCAAAAAGTTGTCTATGTATGGTGTTGACTTTCATAAAGCAAAGGTAATCATTTTGGCCGTTATTAACATGCATGTGTCAGACTTGTGTCATATATTACTTCCCACCAACCTTTATCTGGGGTATTATTATTAAACATTCTAAGAGGAATTGTGTGTGTGTGTGTGTGTGTGTGTGTTTAAGGCCTTCACTTTATTTATTATTTTTTTCTATATTAATTTTAGAGGAAGGGAGAGGGATAGAGATAGAAACATTGATGAGAGAGAACATCGACTAGCCACCTCCTGCATGCCTTCCACTGGGGATTTGGCCCACAACCTGGGCATGTGCCCTGACCGAGAATCAAACCGGCAACCTCTTGGTGCATGGGTCGATGCTCAACCACTGAGCCACACAGACTGGGCTAAGAGGAATTCTTTTTAGAATTTTAATTCTGAATTGAATCAATTACGTGTATCAAGTATATAAATTGAATTGCCCCTTTGCAGTTCCATCATCAGAATCCAAGTTTCACATCCAAGCTACTATATGGATCAAAGGATATAGCATCTAGCCCTGGCTGGTTTGGTTCAGCGGTTAGAGCGTCGACCTGCGGTCTGGAGAGACCCAGGTTCAGTTCCCGCTAAGGGCATGTACCTCGGTTGCAGTTTATCCCCAAACCTGGTTGGGTCGTGTGGGTGGCAGCCACTCGATGTGTCCCTTTCATGTCGATGTTTCTTTCGCTCACCCACTCTATCTGAACAAAAAATGGAAAAATGTCCTCGGGTGAGGATAAAGAAAAAAAAGATATAGCAAAAGAAACTATGTTTTCATAAAACGCAGATACATTTGAAAATGTAGAGAGACATCAATGCATGTTTCATGGCCAACGTCACGTATGTCAGAATCACTTGGAGTGTTTATTAAATATGCAGATTCCCAAACTCCTCCCAGATTTACTGAATTATTTTTGAGGAGAGGCTAAATTTAAAGATTTAATAAACATCCCAAATGATTCTCATCTATGCTTGAATGTGAGAACCATTGGCCTAAGGTAGTGGTTCTCAAAGTGTGGTCTCTGAACCAGCATTTAGCATTATGTAGGAACTTGTTAGAAATGCACATTTCAGACCCCATCCCACAATTACTGAATCAGAAACTTAGTGGGTAGAGCCCAGCAATGTGCTTAACCAAGCTATGCAGGTGATTTTAGTGCACATGGCATGAACAATAGTGGCTTGAGAACCACTGGTTTATGAAATTGGACACTTGAGCTTTAATCCTAGGTCTGCCTAATACAACCTATCAGAATGAATACTTAAGGGAAGTCACTTGACTTCTCTCATCTTCATCACTGAAATGGCTGGGAGGTTGAGGAGTTTGTGAGGGGAAGGGCTCAAGGGATGATCAGAGGTTTGTTTAGAGGAACTTAACTAGGATTCATAAAGAGGGGACTCAAATCTCTGTCCAATGAGAAACAAACAAAGGAATAAGGATACTTGGTTCACAGAAGAGGAAGTTGGGGAAAACATAATGTCTGTCTTAGTGTATGTATGTATGTATGTATGTATGTGTGTATTTATTTATTTAATCCTCACCCGAGGACATTTTTTCATTTTTTGTTCAGATAGAGAGGAAGGGAGAGAGAGAAAGAAACATCGATGTAAGAGAGAAACATCGATCGGCCGCCTCCTGCACACCCCCAACCGGGGACCAAGCCCAAAACCTAGACATAATGCCCCAATCAGGAATCGAACCTGGACCTCTCAGTTCATGGGATGATGCTCAATCCACTAATCCACACCAGCTGGGCCAGAGGCTCAGTTTTATGGGAGGAATGTTGTGAAGGCAGATGAGATGCAAGCCCTGTGACATTTCATAGGGGCTTTGAGAGGTATTAGTGGTGGCTATATTGCTTCTTATACCAGTTGATTCCTTCATTGTGTAAGATGTGGTCATATCTACATTTCTTGGACAGGAGAAAAGCAGATATTTCCTTAGAATCATTAATAATGAATGAAATAATAGATATTAATGGTTCAAAGTTTAAGCCTAATGTATTTTGTTACCAAAATAACTTGAAATTCTTTAGTTTGTCAATCTAAATGAATCAAAATTGTTGTAAATCAGAAGCAAAGAATTTATTGATATTTGTCATAATAAATTATGAATAATAATGTAGACAGGTAACAAACTTAATGTAAACATATATTGAGCATGTTATCAATAACAGACAGTATTTGGGTGATGCAGAAATGATTAAGATATAATTTTCATCCTCAAGGACTGGATTATAATTTTTTCTAGTTATTTTCCTGATTATAAATGTGATATATACATATATAATTATTACATAATATAATAATTATTAGTAATATGTATGTATGTATGTCTTATCCAAACATGTGTGTAGGTGCCTAGAAGATAGGATGGTAATCCTGGAAATTACCAAATTATTGGTGTACTGTTAAGGAGTGTGAAGGAGAGGATAGAGTTTTATTTTAGACACTTCTGTATTATTTGAATTTTTTACATACGTGTATTAGTTTAGTGATATTTAAATACTTTTTAAAGATAATACATGTTTATTATAATTGGAAAGTATAGAAAACTCAAATGAAAATTGCTCATAATTGTACCACCTAAAGAATGCCATTGTTTTTTGTTTTTTTTTTATGGAACGCTTCACGAATTTGCGTGTCATCCTTGCACAGGGGCCATGCTAATCTTCTCTGTATCGTTCCAATTTTAGTATATGTGCTGCCGAAGCGAGCACAAGAATGCCATTGTTAATGTTTTGCTATATTTATCTTTCTTCCATGTATATTTTATATATATTTTTAGGATTAAATTGTATATGCAGCTTTAATCTGCCTTATTTTGCTTAACATTACAACATAATTATTTTCTCATTTATCCCCCAAATTCTATATAACTTTTTTAGTGGCACATTGTATTTCACCAAAGGACAATAATTTAACCCTGGTGCTTGGATACTTAGGTTATATTTAGTTTTTTTTCCACTCTTATAACTATTTTAATATTTTCATTTATAAAGTGTTTTCTGTAATTTGAATTATTTTCTTGGAACAGATTATAGAAATAGAATTACTGTGTCTGATTTGGACATTTTAAAGATATTTGTAATAGGTAAAACATTGATTTTTTTTTTTAAATGTGGTAGAGTAACAACATTTTTTTTTATCCTCACCAGAAGACATTTCTTCCAGTTTTTGTTCAAATAGAGTGGGAGAGAGAGAAAGGAAAAGAGAGAGAAAGAGAAACATCGATGTGAAAGGGACACATCGAGTGGCTGCCACCCACACGACCCAACCAGGGCCAGGGACAAACTGCAACCGAGGTACATGCCCTTAGTGGGAACCGAACCCGGGTCTCTCTGGACCCCAGGCCGACGCTTTAACCGCTGAGCCAAACCGGCCAGGGCATACAACATTTTTACATAGACCTAAATGCTAATGCTTTTCTTTTTCAGGACTTGGAGGGAGTGGATATCGTCCTAGGTGTCTGCTCCAGTGGCCTTCTGGTTTACAAAGATAAGCTGAGAATTAACCGCTTTCCTTGGCCCAAAGTGCTGAAGATTTCTTATAAACGTAGTAGCTTTTTCATCAAGATTCGGCCTGGAGAGGTACAGAATTCATTTTTTTTCCTCCTGAATCAAAAACAGGCCACATCTAAAACATCTCTTTCTTCTTGTTTTTCTTGTTATGTCATCTAAGAGATCTCTCTTTAGGTAACTATACAGGAGCTGATACTCTGTTTTTTAAATCAGTCCCATAATGCTTCTTTTCCTTTTTACTACTGGTTTTCTGGGCATTTCTCTTCATGTAAGTAAATATACCATGGCCAAAAGTGAAACCTGCATTGATAAACTTGTTCCTTGTTTACTCCAGGTGAAATCTTGATGGAAAATAGTTTAAAATTAAGTAGCATGAGATTTTAAATTGTGGGGTTAAGTTACATTTTGTACCACCAATCTCTTACTCATTTAATTAAAATGTATTTGTATGTGTAGCTTCTAGTAGTTACTGGGAATATATTCTAGGGTCAAGTTTTAGATTTTTAACAGCGTTGTTTAACTTTGTGTCAGAAAATTTAATTACTAGTTGGTGGGCAAGTTTCAGGGTATACTAATGCTGACCAAATTTAACTTTTATATTAAAGAGCCATCACAGTATAGTGGAAAATTGTCTAAGTAGTAATGACATTTTAGAAAAAGTTCTAGCTCCTACTCTGCCACCTACTAAGTAAAAGACCCTGAAGAAATCTAAGGCTCAGCTTTTTTATCATTCAAGGTGAGTAATACCTTTTCTGTCAGGGTTGATTTGAAGATCAAATGAGAAGACAGCTGCAAAAGGTCTAAGCAGGAAAGCATCATACTAGTGTAAAGTGACTTTGTTGTGTATATATCACCATCTGCTGGTGAAAATGGCTTATTATTTGAGTGTAGAAATACTGGATATGCAGCCTTAAAAATCTCATTAGGATTATCATTGAAGCATTTATTTAGTACCATTATTATTTACCTGCACCTGTCACAGAGTAATCACTGTCTTCCATCAAGAGTTTCAAATCCAAGAGTCATTCAGTCAACAGATATTTATTGAGAAAATTCTTTGTCAGGCACTACTCTGGGGGCTAGGAATAGTGAATAAAAGTCTGTTCCTCAATGATCTTACATTTTAATGTGGCAAGGCACACGCATGTGCACACACTCACACACACACTTTAATAAGTTTGATAATTGAAGTCCTTGGTTTCTTTAAATGTCAACTATACAATACACACTCTTACTTTAAGAAAGCAATCAGGAACACTAGTAGGATTTTGAAGTGTAGTATTATGACTATAGTAGATGATTTAGAAGTAGCATGGTTTAGTGGAAACCGTGAAATTCTGTTTCTGTCACTTCATAGCTGTGAGACTGAGAAGAAACTTGTCTAACCTCAGTTTTTTCATGTGTAATACTATCTAGTCATAGCATATTGTTAATAATAGGTGCTAGAAATAAATGTTAGTTCCCTTTTCATCTTAAAAAGTATGCTTAAGGCAGAAACAAAGAGGCAAAAAACAACAGGATAGTGTTTGTAAGTAGCCCTGGCAGGATATGGTTTGCTTCTGTCAAAGAGGTATTGAGATAAATTGATGATCAATCAAAGGAAAAAAAGAAGGCAATTAGTAATTCAAAAATTGGTTTGAGTTACAATTGTCAATCTTTAGCTCCTATTACTAAAAAAAAGGGGGGGAGGGATTGCATAATAATATTGATTGCTGGAGGAATCATCTCATCTGCTATCCCATTTTCTGAGCATTAAATAGTCTAGTATCCCAAGTGCAGATGGTGACTAAGGAAGAGTGGTGTGTGGACAATCAAAAGTTGACTTAATTTTGACTAAAAAATGTACAATGTGTTTCTGAACAAAATAAGATGCACAAATAAAATGAATTCCCTGGCTTTTTTTGTTGTGGAAAAAACCACCTCAGTGAGTAAATTTGTTTTTGTAAGTAGGGAAAAATTTCAGATGTTTTATGTCTATAGATTAGGATTGTTCTTTTATTCTTGATGACCTTTTCTATAGCACCATGTTTCTCTGGTCCTGTATCACTGTAGTTGAATAATCCTTTATGTTCTATGTTTGTTTTTATAGCAAGAACAGTATGAAAGTACCATCGGATTCAAACTTCCCAGTTACCGAGCAGCTAAGAAATTATGGAAAGTCTGTGTAGAGCATCACACATTTTTCAGGTATTGTTCTCACTTAAGTATTTTTCAAGGATAAATTATTTATGCATGTTTCTATTTTAAGCTGGCTATTAAAATTCCTTCTTTGTATAGCTGGCATTCTTTTAGTTAGCTCAGGTAAAATCATCTTAAGCAAGACAAAATGAATCCAGTTCTCCTTTGGGTTGACAACATTCCTCAACATTCTCAGAGTACCTTTCTGTGTGTGGTAGAAGGAGGAGAGAAGTGAGGAGTAGGAACCTATGTTTACTAGGGGCTCTGTGATTGCCCTTGCTGGAGCTGAAATCAGTCCTATCAGGAAGAGGTACCCTGACTACCTCCACATGCAATTTCTTTAAGCAGTGCTTAATTACTTTCTGTGGGGCTTTTTTTTTTTTTCTTTTTCTTTTTTTTTTTATCCTCACCCAAGGACACTTTTTGTTCAGATAGAGTAGGAGGGAGAGAGAGAGAGAGAAACATCGATGTGAAAGGGACACATCGAGTGGCTGCCACCCGCACAACCAACCAGGGCCGGGGACAAACTGCAACCAAGGTACATGCCCTTAGCGGGAACCGAACCTGGGTCTCTCGGGACCGCAGGCTGATGCTCTAACCGCTGAGCCAAACCGGCCAGGGCTCTGTGGGGCTTTTAACTGGAAGGTTAAAGGTATGAAACTGATTATTATTATCTTGGCTTTAATCAACCCCAGAAAGGGAGCCATCTTTGAAGATAATCAGAAGACAGAAGAAAGTTTTATCTCCTCTGGTTTTCAAGAAGCCATATCATTAATCCCCTGTATATTCATTTACCAAGCATTTTCTCTATGTTTACCCTTTGTGTAAGTACTGTATTGTGCACTTAGAGAATACCACAAGATAGTTCTAGTCCCTGTCCTGATGGAACATACAATTTAACAGAGAATACAGACCTTAGGCAAATTACTTGTATTGAAAGGAGAGTCAGCTTATTATTGGCAGCTTGCCTTTTTTTTCAGTCCTCACCCGAAGATATTTTTCCGTTAATTTCAGATAGAGGGGTAGAGAGACACAGAGAGAGAGAAACATCAGTGTGAGAGAGACACATCGATTGGTTGCCTCCCACACATCTCAACCAGAGTCAGGGATCAAATTGTAACTGCGGTACCTGCCCTTGACCAGAATCTAACCCAAGATTCTTTGGTCTTCAGGCTGATGCTCCAACTGCTGAGCCAAATTGGCCAGGGTGGCAGCTTTCCTTTTTAAGAAAATTTACTTATTATGGAAAATTGCATACATAACAACAGTAAAGAGATTAGTATTATGAACGCACCTACCACCTATCACCCAGCTTCAGTAATTATCACCCCCAAGGCCAGTCTTGTTTTATCTATAGCCCCACCTAATTCTTCCCACTACTTCCCAGATTATTTTGAAGCATATCCAAGACCTCATGTCATTGTCATTCATAAATAAACTTGACTGTAAAATGGCTGTCAAGAGAGAATCATGATTTCATTTCTTTCCGTTCGTATTTTCATAGCATACGTAGCACTTAGCACAGTGAACAGGAAGAAAAGCCAGGGTAAATAACATTTCAAAATAAAACATGAGGGCACATTTTATACCCAATTAAAGAATCTTAATTATTGGCACTAAGATATTTCTTTATGCTTTCATCATTCTCTTCTTTAAAATCAAACCAAGAAAATAGAATTTCTAAAAAGGGTAAGGAAAAGCAAAGTTATTTTGAATGTTTAATATCTGTGTTATAGATTTCAGCTGCAGCCAATATATTTACTCATAGGATCGCATATTTAAATCCATTGCATCAAAATATGAGACTATATTAACATGTAATGCTTTATTACATAAAAGAAAGTTAGTATTTGCTGAATTAAAATAAACTATCCCCAAGGAAAAATATACTCTTTTTTTTCAATGGCATTTGATGTAGTAATTTATGTATTTATTCAGCAAACATTTATAGTGCCAAACTCATGCCAGGCACTGTGCCAGAAGTGAAAACAAAGATGAATAAGGGGAGACCAGCACATAAATTGTTTCAGTTCGGTAGAGTAAATGCCATGACAAAAGGGAGCACAGGGTACCACATGAAAAGAAGATAGGGTTCCTAACTAAGTTGAAAATACACCAAATAACCTTTTAAATAGGTTACCAGGCATTAATTGAGTCTGGAGTATATTTGACAAAATTATTCTGGTGGAGTGGAAAAAGAGCTCTGGGCTTGGATGGACTCTGTTACTGTCCAACCTCTTAACAGCTATGTGACCTTAAGCAAGTAGCTTCTTTTTTGAGGTTCAGTTTTTTTGTATCTATAAAATGATGACAATATTACGAGGATATAGTGAAAATATTACAGTGCTATAAAAGCATTTTGAAAACCATAAGGCCCTATCTATAGAGATATAAAATAATATTATTAATATAGGCCACAAGTAAATTATACATGTTGCTTGGAGAAATGACATAGAGTTAAAATAATGATCAGTTGATTTGAAATCTATTTTGATAACTATAAGGAAAATGAGAATTTTAAAACTTTTAAAAATCTAGATTTTTGTCTTTAATCTCACAGTATCATTAGAGTGGGATAAAATATATAATATATGATTGTTATGGTTTTTTTCCCCCCAGACTAACATCTACAGACACTATTCCTAAAAGCAAATTTCTTGCACTGGGATCCAAATTTCGATACAGTGGCCGAACTCAAGCTCAGACCAGGCAAGCTAGTGCTCTGATTGACAGGCCTGCCCCACACTTTGAGCGTACAGCAAGCAAACGGGCATCCCGGAGCCTTGATGGAGGTTTGTATTGAATTTTGGTGATTTCCTATGGACCTAACTCTTTATCTGTAAGAGAGCCAAATTAAAGAATGTCATTGGTAAAATGAAATGGATCTCACTGATTGTCTAAGTCAGTGGAATCATCTTAAGGAGAACTGAGGTTCAGTTCCACTGTTAGGAGATTGAACACAACTAGAACTAGAATTAGAATTCAGAATCTCTGCCGCAGAGTGGAAACCTAATGGACTATACTAAACTAAAGCCTTCTTGAATTTTTTTTTTATCCACACCCAAGAATATGTTTCTGTTGATTTTTTTTAGAGAAAGAGAAACATCTATTGGTTGTCTCCCATATGTGCCCCAACTGGGGATTGAACCCACAACCTACGTATGTGCTCTGACTGAGAATCAAACCTGCAACCTTTCAGTGTACAGGACAATGCTCCAGCCAGCTGAGCCACCTTATATTCTTGTTGCCCATTTTGGTTTTCAAGCCATTTCCATATATTCCTGTTTAGTACTAACAACCATTTAGTATCAAGAAGTATTTAGGGATTCTTGTTTTACTCATGAGGAAACTAAGGTACAAAAAAACTTATATAACTTGTTAGGGTCACACAACCAGGCAGTTCATCCATTTCATGATTTGCAGTGATTCTTGCCAGGGGAATACATCCCTATCATTTTTGGAGGTTTAAAACAAATGCCAAGGCTTCACCCTTAGATATCTCATCTGTCTGCAGTAGACCTGAGCATCAGCTGGGGTTTTGTTTTCTGTTGTTTTTAAGATCCACAGATGATTCATGTGGGGTCCCTCTGGTAATGGAACCACTGATCCGTGCATACCTATTGTACCTGTACTATACTAGCAGAAGTTGTTCTAATAAGTTATAGAGCTAGAACTGGAATTTAAGTCTCTTTTTACTCAATATGATGGTTTTGAGTTTTACTCTTTATTGCTCTAATATATAAATGTCTATGTTTCTTTGTCTGACGGGAGCAATACAATACTGGAATTAATGGGTTCATAAGATTATCACAACTAGCGGTCTTTAGAAATGGGAAATAATTTAATTTTTCAGGTTAAATGCTCTCTATATATGCATCAAAATCTTGTAATAGTCAACAAATGAATTCATAAAACTGAAGAGCCAAAACATCTTAAAAAGTATTCACTACCTACAACACTGTGAATATACTAAAAGCATTGAATTATGCACTCAAAATGAGTGAATTGTAGGGTATGTGAATTATATCTCAACAACCACAGTCACTACCATGATTCTCTGATGTGATACATAGTTTGTTGTCTTCTTATTGAGAAGAAAGTTGTTTCTCTCCAGGGCTCCCAGGTTATATCTTTCACTTGAATTGCATATCCATGTATAATAAATACATAATTAATTTTTGCTCCGCTTGAAATAATAGTAACCTATAACAAAAGAAATACAAAGCCTTAGGTATGACATGAAAAGTTATTAATATTTAGGGTTTATAAAGTATTTTTATAGCCATTGAATGAATATGCCTTCCCCAGCTATCCTGTAGAGTTAATATCTTTCACATTTTACAAATGATGCAACTTTCTGCTTCTGTTTCTAACTGCCAGTTTCTACACTTATACCTACTTTTCCACATGCAGTGTAGATTGCCACAGCAAAGAATGCTGAAGACATAAATCATTTGGCTCTGCAATATTAGTATTGGATTAAAACCAAACACAAGTGGCAAAATAACACATGGTGAAAGCATGGACTATGTTTTTGTAATGCCAGTCAGAGTTGAATTAATTCTTTGAGAGGAGGTGTGAATACACATGTATAATGAAACTCTAACACAACTGTGAGCAAAATATTTTGTCACATTCCCCTGTGTTGTTAGATTTGGTCTACCATCTGCCATTCTTGAATTGACTGGCTTAGAGCACCCATGAGTAGCAGGGACTCGCAACAGGGCATAGAATTTTCATTGAATGATAAAGTAGATTCTTGTGTTTCTGCTGTTTTTCCTTTGTGTCCTCTGAGAAATGATTTCTTTCACCGGAGATCATTACAGGGTAATGGACATTTCTTGGTGTTGTCCATGTGAAGAGCTGTGAATTTCAATTTTTTATCTGTTTTGATCATGGAATTTCTTTGTTTTACCTAATCCTTACTGTTTATAAATCTAAATTTATCAGGATAAGTTCAGTTCAGAATACTCAGTTTAAAAAGGCAGGAACATGTATAATAAAAATTGTAAGTGTTTTCATGCAAAAATAATTAAGATTTAAAAGTCTCAGTACATGGAAGGATGAATTGTTATCAGAAATATTAAATCATGCGGAAAACTCTGTGGTCCTAGACACTGCTAGATAAGTGAAGTTTTACCACAAAATGTATAGGTGCTTTCTGAAAGAAGGAAGAAAATATCACAAGAGTGTGAGTGATTGTTTTGAAGTAAGCAATCTGAACTTTAAATGCCAAATAGTCCAAACCAAAACTCTGTGGAAAAATCAAGCTTTGGTCATGAATCTATATTGAATATGCTCTCTAAAAGTTTGTTAACCTCAGCAAACTTGGCCTGTACACACCGGATACCAGTACCTGCTTCCACTTCTCTTCCCAGTTATAACAACCAAAAATGTCTGCAGACATTGCCATATGTTCTGTGGAAGGCAAAAATTATCCCTGGTTGAGAACTGTTGCCCTAAATAATACAAATTGATAAAACTGGAGGAGATGGTAGGACAGAACTCAAAGGTTGGGGGATTTTTTAAATTCATATTATTTTAATCAAATAACTTTTTAAAAAGGAAAGTGTTTGGTTCAAAGATTTACCCTTAAACAAGCATCAAAAGGCTACATGTCTTTAAAAGATCCACTTATCAAGTTATTTTGTAATCATTCCAAGGAAGCTTCACAGAAAAAAATCAAACTTAATCCTTTTTTCCTGGAATATATTTTTAGGTTCTTGAAATTATAAATGAATAGATCTTTATTTCAAAAAGGCTTCATGGAAGAAATAAGACTTGGTTCACCTCCTTTTCCCCTTTCATAGATTGTGTTACAGGTTCTTAAAACTAAGTGATTACAAAGTTACACAATCTTGGTAACTTTTTAATAAAATGAATTTTTAATTTCTTACTGTGATGTCAGCACCTCCACCCCCAAAATCCCCATTACAGAACATGATCGCCAGCACATTTTAGTTTTTCTATAGAGGGTACTTTTAACTTTATTATTGCCATTAGTTACTTGGCAGAGCACTACTAATGATTTATTTTTGTACCTTCTGTGTGGACTGCCCACTGGACACTGTAGCACTCATATGGTACCTGGTGACTGAAGCAGTACAGTGACTCTTGCCTTCACTTATTCTTCTCTTTTCCTTTTCTCACGTAACAGCGGCTGTGGATTCAACAGACAGAAGTCCTCGGCCTACTTCTGCACCTGCCATTGCTCAGAGTCAGGACACAGAAGGCAATGTGCAAGGTGCATCTTTCAAAAAAACGGTGGTTTCTAAAGCACAGAAGGAAACAGTGAAGGTTGAAGTGAAAGAGGAAGAAGTGCCACCTGAGCAAACTGAGCCAGAGGCCACAGAAGTGTGGAAGGTATGTCATAAGTCCAAATATCTGGTGAATTCACTTTCTGACTTAGAGGTATTAACTCCTTGACCAGGAGGGTTTTCAAAGCATTGATTGTTACAGAACCCTAACAGATTATTTCTTTCTCACTCTTTCTGAAAGAAGGTATCTCCCATGAACTTGTAAAATGCTTTCATAGAGTTGTGTCTTAAAGACTAAAAACTATCCCAGAAGTTTTCATATGACTCAACCTTTACCCAACTTTTATCTAAAAAAAAAAAAAAAAAATGAAGTCTATAAACACAGTAGCACCATGATTGTCTTGCTTTTAAAAATAAGTTTTGCCCTGGCCAGTTTGGCTCAGCAGCTGGAGCTTGGGGCCTGTGGACCAGAGAGTCCCGGGTTCAGTTCCTGCTAGGGGCATGTACAAAAATAAAAAAAATTAAAAATAAATTAAAAAAATAAAAATAAGTTTTACTCATCCAGAAGGAATCTCCATATTTCTTTTTAAGAGTAAGCTATGCTAGTATGATTAAAATATCATTTGACTTCTCTAAGTTGGATATGTGTGCAGCATAGCCAGAGAATATCCAAGTATTACGTAAAGCATGTCTATGTGGTTGTTTAAACCTTAAGTATCTTTACAAAAAGGGGAAGGTCCATTATGTCGGAGAGATTATACTACTGACTTGCTTATAGTTCTGAATTGATTATACCCTTAGTCACTGAACCTTGTTGAAAAATTACCAACTTAATTAGCAGATTTCCCAGGAGTAACAGTAACTGGACTGATCTTTTATGTGTTGATAAGCTTTTTTTCTTTTTTTTTTTATTAAATCCTCACCTGAGGACAGTTTTTCATTTTTTGTTCAGATAGAGTGGGAGGGAGAGAGAGAAATGTGAAAGGGACACATCGAGGGGCTGCCACTCGCACGACCCAACCAGGGCCGGGGACAAACTGCAACCAAGGCAGGTGCCCTCAGCGGGAACTGAACCCAGGTCTCTCTGGACCGCAGGCCAATGCTCCAACCACTGAGCCAAACCGGCCAGGGCATACATTATGTGTTGATAAGCTTTTTAAACACATGTAAGCGGTGATGGAGTTGAGGTGCTAGTTCAGATTTATTGAAGTAAATAACAGGTCTCACTGTTAACAACAGGAATTAATAGACTCAGTCTTTATAGGAAAAATGACATTTTTATATGTCTATTTACACATTTAAAGTCATATAAGACCTTAATAAGTGCTCTCACCATGGCAGATGGATTAATCCTGTTCTCTTGGAATCAGTTCAATATCTAGTTTATCTGTAGAGCAGAGGCCAATCTGTCTCTGTTTTGATGGTATTAAAAAGAAACTATTCAATATGACATGCAGTTTTTACTGTCCTTTGAGACCGACTTGAGTCCAGAGGGGAAAAAAACTTGAATGAATGGTGGTGGTTTGCATTTTTGTACCTAGCCAAATATGCGTGACGTTAGCCATCAGGTTCAATGTCAACAGTGCCTTTTTAATGTTAGACTGCCCCAGTTAAAAGTTAGGATATCTCACCTGGCACTTCTGACTGTTACACTAATTAGAAAGTGTTGGATTACTGGAGTTGGCAAGGGAATTTTTTTGAGTGGCTAAGATTTCTTTGGCTTTCTGCTAACTTGTTCTTTTGACTATAAGTAGACACAAGGATCTTCAGGAAAGGTTCCCTTTGCTTTTGGGACCTCAGCAGAATGGAGAGATCACTTTCTGGTATATACTCCCTATTTAAGTGCCTATAGGGGGTCTTCTTGCCAATTAATTCTATATAATGCTGTTTTGAGATACTTGTGTTGAGATCAGACTGAAAGCCACCTCTGATAACTACCTATTACTATAATAGTAGTAACAGAATGAAGGGTGACTCTGAGTTGATTATTTGTAGCAGTTAGAAAATAATTATGGAATTCACCTGAAGCCACATTTATTATATAAAGCAATAACAGTAATAAAGTAGTCTTGTAACTGTGTAAATTTCATTATCTAACACTAATTTGATGCCAGATAGAGCTTTTTAGCATCTTGAGTCATTTGACAAGACCCGTTTTGGAGGTGTGTACATCTTTATCTCATTTAATGTTCTCCATAGGGGCATACACAGAACTACTGCTGCTACTTCGCCTCCATTCTTAGATTGAAGTGGAGGCTCTCAGTTTTTTGCTGTTGGATTGCTAAGAACCCAAAGCAAAAAAGTCATTATTCATTTACACAAGCAAATTAAGCTTTCCAAAATAATTAAAAACTACCATTTGCTATGCATTCACACTTCTATCAAGATATTTCCACTTTATTAATAAAAAACCTAAACTCAGAGAGGTGAAACAACTTGCTAATGATCACACAGCCAGTATACTGGGATTCAGAATAGAACTGACCCAAATTGTTAATTAATTACCCTTGGAAGTTAAAAGTGTTATTGCTGGATGTGTTACCTTACGTTCTTCACATTCAGTCCTAAAGAAAATAGCACAATGACATTGTACTCTGAAGTAATGCTGCCAAATGTGATTTAAAAAAAGTATGCAAAATCACTGATTGATTTGGTTCTGTAAAGAACTTAATGATACCAAGTGATTGAGATGACCCTTAATAAAAAGTTTTCTAATTTTGAGATATCCATTGTGTTAGGCATTGCTTACTTTATTATGCTTCCTCTTAATAGTCTATCTAGTTTATTTATTTACTTATACTTACTCCAATGGGGTATATAAAATGACTATTACTAAAGGTATTTCAAAGGTAAGCAGGGGTCCTTAGTTATTTTCTTACTAGTATTAAGGATGAATTTTACCCATTCACCAAACACATGGGCTCCAGCTGCATAGAGAGGAGATAATAGTGTGTTGAATATTGTAGTTGAGCCCTGTGTGTGCTTATTTTATAAATCAGCCTTGATAAAGATTGCATGCATTAGTAACAATTTGGATTAAGTTTATTTTGGTGTTTTGTTGTCTAATAAACTCAAGAGTGAAACTGCCTCCATGAATATATTGATCAACTAACAAAATGTTTTGTATTTACCTGCTTGGTGTTATATGTGGTTTATTGTATGTGTGCTTTAACTGCAAAGATTTCTTTTTGTTTCTAACTATCATGTATGTCATACGTTGATATCTTCATTTGTAAATTTGTTTTTAAATGTTATTTAAGGTACTTCTAAATCGTTAAAAAGCAAAACAAAAACATATGGCTTACTTAAGCCTAATTATTATTTTTAATAAGTACTTTATTTTATAAATGAGTATAAAATATTTTCTTCATCAGTAGAATAATGACCTGAATTTTCTTTTTTGATCATTTGGCTTTCTATATTACCTCTTCAGCCTTGAAAATGTGATGGTGAACTAACAGATTGCTCTTGATTGCTCTTGAGAGTAATGTTTTTCCCTGTTTTACCCCCTAAAGGCTGCATCATGATGATTACATATTAGCTTATTTCACAACCAGCTTAAAGGTGCAGCTTATTTGGAAACAATGCTATTCATAGAAACTATTAACCTAAAATGTTTTACCACTTTATTTCTTAAATGTAGGTGGAAAAAACCCACATCGAGGTCACAGTACCCACCTCAAATGGTGACCAAACACAGGTTTGTGCCAGTAGGTCACTTGTTCTTTTTCCCCTCCCTCCTTGATTTTTTTCTTCTCCCACACTGCCCCCTCCTTAAAAAAGAAATTAAAATGAGAGTTCCAACAAACTTCAATGAGCCAATTTTTTTTTATAATTTTTCTTTCTCTTTTTAATAATGGCAAAACAGAAGCTTACAGAAAAAACTGAAGATCTGATAAGAATGAGGAAGGTTAGCCATTTTTCACTTTCACAAAACTGCATTAGCATCACCCATGCTGACTTTTACAGTGCATTAAAAAGACAGTGATCCATCCTTTTCATTGATTTCTCTTAATCAGAAATTACTTTAAAATAGCAGAGATATATGTATATATATGCACACATGTATATAAAAGAAATTATAATTCTATACTATACATTAATAAATTTAATTAATAAACTTTCCAAACTTTTGAAACACAGTGAAATAATTAGTAAAGGCCAAACCTATTCTTTATTAAACTATGTAAGAAATATTTCACAGTGGCACCATATTCTTGAAATTGTTGACAACATTTTATACATATTTATTATAGAAACCATCATAGTATCTCCCAGTATTGTTTATAACTTTGGTTTGGCTGCTCTGTGCCTCTTTCTTCCAAACTATAGAGTGGGATAAATCAGTTTCTATTGAATATAATATTGAATGATCATATGTATAAAATGACCATAGATCTTTCTAATGAAAAGTATTAGAGATGTACAGACTGCATTATTACTAAGTATGAAATGTACCAAAAAACTAAATAATGCTTTGAAGTATTTCTTTACTCCATGGAACATGGAGTTTCAAAGCTTCTTAAAATCATGTATTTTAAGATAACCCCTCAAACAGCTCAATTTAAAAAATAAACATAAAACAGTTTGTTATGTAAGAAGCCAATGAAGCCAGGAGCACTGTCTATTTAAATAACATCATCACATTCTTCCATCGTTCATGAACAAGGTCATCCATTTTCCAGTGGTAATTATGTTCTCTGTGTGTCCTTGTGGTTCTGTGACCATTTCATGTTGGCATATGCTGAGCTATGGACATTTAATTTTAAATAATTTTTTATTTGCCAATTTGCAGTTTTTTCCCGCAAGAACAATGTTTTAATTTTTTATGCTTTTCTGTTTTTCCCCTCTTTCATTTTCACAGAAAAAGAGAGAGAGACTAGATGGTGAAAACATTTATATCAGACATAGCAATTTAATGTTGGAGGTTTGTATGACTTGAAGCTTATTTCAGTTGGTTGCCTGTAACCTTCTGCATTCTTTGCTGATGCCCCTTTCTTCCTTCTGTGCTGCGTTTGGTTTTGCATGCGAGAATTCTAGGGTTAAATGCTTTTGCATGTTGGTAAACATGAAGATATGTAACCATCTCACCTGACTCTTTGTAGTTTCCATCTATCATACTTATCTGAAAAATATATGATTGGGACTACCTCTGCCTCTTGTGGTTCCATTGTTTTACCCACTTTTAGAAAATTCTACATTGCTGTTAAAAAAATTTCATTGAATTTTCCAAAAGTCTAAACTGCTATATATCCCAAACATCAAATTTTTTATCTTCTGAACTGAATGTGGAAAAGTAAGAGAAACAATCACAATTGAAAATGGGCTTAAAATATTGGGGATTCCAGAAAATGACAGGACAGTCAAGGGGAGGGAGTAAGACACAGGAAGGAAAGAAGGGAGCCTAGCATTTAGTGAGTAGTCAGTATGACAGAAGATAGTTTAATCGTAAAAACAGGTGTGTGAATATGAGATTATTAAATTAAAGATGAGAAAATTGAGGCTTAGAGAAATTAATTTCCCTATGGTCAAAGAACTGATAAATTGACAAAGCTAGAGTTAGAGGTAGGGCCTGTCTAACTCTATTAAACTATACTTTTTTCCCCGATTAAAAAATAGCAACATACTGTCTGCTATAGCAACTGTAAGGTCATTTTCTCATTATAGTCAACATTGGTGAGATTTTTACCAGAGTTATGTTGTATACTTTATCTAGTGTTGGACTCCACATTAGATAGGGAAATACAAAACTAATTCGAAGATTCTGGGAACTCTGAGGAAAACTTAAAGAAACTGGAATTATTCTCTGTGGGAAACAACTGAGACCATTTTAGTTTACACATAGAAAAACTCATATAAAAGTTTATAATTCCACCCAAGACAGAGCCAAAAGAAATGAACACAAACTCTGATATCAGGGATTTAACTTAGCTTATAAAGGAAATATAAATATATAGGAAGATGATAAACATGGTTTCTGCCTTCAGGAAGCTTATAGTGTTGGGAAGTGGAGAGTAGAGAAACAGTATGTAAACAAATAGCAATGACATGATTATAAGTTGTTATAAAAGCGATGAAGGAAATAAACCATATGCTGTGCTAATAAAAGGGATCTACTCTGAATAAGATGAATAGGAAAGTTCTCTGAAGAGACATTTTAGCTAAGACTTGATAGATGAACATATATTAAATGTGGTCAATATTATTAATCTGGAAATTTGAAGAAACTTTTAAAGAAAGATCTCTGATTTAATGTAATGGTCTCCTAATAATTACTTGAACTCATCTTATTCTTTGTCAAAACATGTATTTTGAGTGCCTGCCATGTATAAGGTACTTTGATGAAAGTAACAAAAGTTATGGCGAGCCTTCATTAATCGTGTACTGTATGGTAGCCATGCATTCACTGCATGTAGCATGAGGTTTCCCAAGGCTGGATCCTAGGATCTTTCAAACGTGGCAACTAGATCTCTTTGTTTTAGCCCATCACTGAAACTAGACTTGAATAGTTCCTTTTCTGAGATTAGGAAAAATAACAGTCAGTTGACCTGCTGAACTCAGCAATATAACATCTTCCAATTCCAAACATCCCTGTTTCTTGGCTAGTCCATTGTTAGTGCTTCCTCTTAACTGGAACCTACAGTACCAATCATATATTTGTCATTTGTTTCATGAGGTGTGTTATGGCTTCTGAGACTCATACAGTCCCTGTGTGTGATGTGTTTTCCCCCAGCATTTCACTGACAGCCATGAGAGGGGATTTCTAATAAGTGTGTGTTTGAAAATTAAAACTACTAACTAGCTTTTGAGAATATTTTATATTTAATGAAGTGTTTGGTTTGATTGCTGCTAAAATTATAATATGACATCAAAAGTGTCTAACATGAAGACAACCAAAGCAATTTGGCTAACCATCATTCTCTAGTTACTGTAAAAGTTTGGGATTTTTTTTTCTTTTTTCCCCTAAGGAAGTTCTCTCAAGGTATCTGTCACTCTAGCAGGTTTTGTTTTTTTTTTTAAGCATCCCTCCTCCCCCACTCCCACTAATGCTTTGTTCTGGCACAAATAAGGTCGAGTTCATTTTTAGATGTACCTCCTCCTCCTCCTCCATCTCCCAGAGGGAACCTGTAGCAAGTGTCTATGACAAATTCTATTTGGAACATATCCCTTTGAGATCTTAATTTTACTCTGTGCCCCCACAGGTTTGCAACAGAGCCAGCTAAGAAGGATGGAAAAAGCCCCATCAGAAGCTACTGATGTTTTTGAAACATTGGTTTTCTCAGGTTCCAAGCCAGAGAAAAGCTAGGCAAGAAGAGTAACAAATGTCTCGTGTTAGGCTAACCTAGAGAGTTATGGTTTTACCATAGCATCTGTTGCTCATTTTTGTTTTACTCCATTCACACTTTTAACTCTTCTCAAAATGTTAAGTTCTTGGCCCAAGCAAATTTAATTTCCATTCAGGAGCTGGGTCACAGGGCCTTACATGCCTGGTGAGTCTCAGTTGCTCAGCCTACTACTTAGTCTTTGACTGAGCTTGTTCATGCCTTTTCTTTAGTAAACACGCTTTTCTTGCTTTCAGCTAGAACAAAAGTGCAAACTGTTGTTTCCCCGTGTGAAGCCCATATTCATGAGCTATACGCACACTTCATTTGAGAAAGCAAGAGGTATTCTTATGGGGGAGCTACAGGATTGCCCTTTTGGGGTCAGTTTTCTCTTTGAATGATCACAAAGCAAATATACATGGTTCATGCTTGTAAAAATAAAAATAGACTAGTAAATGAATTTTCTGAATGAATATCTCCAGAATCAAAATTGTGTCATGTGCCTCAATGGATTCTTTTTTCCTATGCTATTTTTGCTATTTTCCCTTTTACGTTGCTTTTGAAAAAATCTAAATTTAGTTGAAGCCTAAATTGCTCCAGAAAAAAAAACTTTTTAAACAAATTTTTATTTAAATGAGTTTCCCTTTGAAAAAAAAAAAATTAGGCTGTTCCCCAGAAAGTCAAAAAGGAAAAAAATATAAAAGACTAATCCCAAAATTCACATAGCATATTAGGAGATATATTTAGTGTTATGCTTTTCTTGGATACAGAGCTGCCTTGATATATAATAAACACAGAATTTTTAGCAGTCATCAAGTGACGGGCTCCCACATATTTTGATCTCAAGCATAGGATCTTTTGAGTTTTTTTGGAGAAGTATTTTGGACAAAGAACATTTGAGTTTTTGTTTTCAAGCTGTATTTCTCAAATTATATCTGGCCAAATCTCCCTTTTAAAAGTTATATACCTCCTGTTACACAAACCTAAATATTTCTCATTACTTCTAGCATTATTAACCTTAGTTTTGATCATTTTTCCCTAGAAGGTCCCTTTTAAGAGTTACCCCTAGTTGTTCAGTATGCACATCTGCTGGAACAGTTGAGGTGTTTTTGTTTTTTTGTTAATCCTCACCTGAGGATATTTTGTTTCTGTTGATTTTTAGAGTAGAAGCTGGAGGAGAGAGAGACACACATCTGTGTGGGAGACACATTGGTTGGTTGCCTCCCACACATGCCCCAACTGAGACTGGGGATGGAACCCTCAACCCAGATATGTGCCCTTGTCTGGGAATCAAACCCCTGACCCTTTGGTGTGTCAGTTGACACTCTAACCACTGACCCACTGACCCACACCAACCAGGGCAAGGGCCAGTTGAGGTATTTTAAATCATTAAGGAGGTATATAAGGTATTTGATGAACTCTTGTTAAATCACTCCCAATTCATTAAAGGCTAGTAGAGAAGGTCCCTAATTTGAATTGTACTAAGGGATGAAGTGAAGCTGTCAGAGGCTGGAAACCATAAGCTTTTTAGTTAGTGTGAATAGTATTGGCAAAGAAAAAAAAAAGCCGTTATATTACATATCCCTGAGTAATTATTCAGAGATAGTAACAACCTACTCTGGAGGCTTGAGCTAGGAATTTCAGTAATCTTTTTTTCTTTTTAGTAATCTTGGAGCCAATCACTTTCTCTCAGAGGAATAAATCTTTTTTTTTTTTTAATTACAGTTGACATACAATATTTTATTAGTTTCAGGTGAACAACATAGTGAGTCAATATTTACATACCAATAATAAATTCTTATATCAAGAAAGGACTATTCCTGTTTACCAAAAACCAACAACAGCCATTAAATAATAGAGAAGCAAAACTATCTCTAGGTAGAAGTAGAGGGTTACTGTACAGTTGCAATTCACAATGCAAGGCAGCCAGTGATGGAAGCTGAACCTTTCACCATGTCCTTCATTGAACAGTTTCTCCTTGTCTATTGCTATTCCATCCTGCCTGAGCTGAGCCTAAATCAGTTTATATCAAGCTGAGGCTAATTGAGTTGTGGGATTCCCTTCTGGGGATGAGGATTTGAAGATCTAGTGCTGTGTCATAATGGGAAGAAGAATTGTAAAACTGAGTGAGCTTCCTATGGGTTGTATAACTGCTAGGAGCTATAGAGTTATGATGCTTCACTGCTTCCAAGAAAAGCACCTTGTTAAACACACATGCGCGCACACACACACACACACACACACACACACACTCACACACACAAACAAGCAAATATACCATGTTGAATGCAACTTATGGATTAGTTATATCTGTCCCTGGATGTGGTGTGTTTTCTACCAGTGCCCATAGTCTATGATGGGCTTCCCTTGGTGTATTTTTTTCTCTGCATATTTATTGTTTTGCATCTTTGCCCTTTCAACTATAGGACTTAGACAAAAGTCAAGAAGAAATAAAAAAACATCATGCCAGCATCAGTGAGCTGAAAAAGAACTTCATGGAATCTGTGCCAGAACCACGGCCTAGTGAATGGGATAAACGCTTATCCACTCACTCCCCGTTCCGAACACTTAACATCAATGGCCAAATCCCCACAGGAGAAGGAGTGAGTACTTTGTCCATGTGACCAATTATGAGAATGAGTGAAATAAATGTTTTTTATATTCATATTCTGTATCTGAGAGAAAGTTTAGAGCTTAAATTTAACTTTGGTGCCTTACCAGTTCATTGCAGCTTTAAGGCATTCATAATCAAACACTTGTTTCTTTAAGCCATATGGACTACCCAGTCTAATTATGGGAACCACTTGGAGCTACCAGCAGATGACTAGGGTCTGAGAACTCTCTCTGTAGCTGCATGCTTCTGGCTAGTGTTTACAAATTGACTATAAGCCAACAGAACTTTATGTTCAAACTCTGCCTTCAAGAACCAGAGAGTTTACTAAATTTAGTAAGGTTCAAATGGGAAAGGAATAAGCATTTTTTAAGAACTTTATTTGAACATTTGAACATCTTAGAAATTTCTGGAATGATTGACCACAATATAATAAACCTAGGAGGCCCCTAAGCCAGAGAATGCAGAATACCAAGTATTAATTATTGTATTGATGATTTAATTTATCTTTATGAGTAACATCATACTTTTAATACACTGTTTTATAACATATTGACAATTAGAGAAAGCCAGAGATACTTTTCAGGGGCTCTTCTTTTTCTGTTATTATTGTCATTACCTATTGTAGAGATTCTACACCCAAAGAAATGAATCTGTGTAATGAAAATGTCTTAAAAGTTACCTTGAGCATGTATTCAAAAATTGTTTACTTAATCTTTAGCCTGTCAGGCTAAATATTTGTGTGTATAGTCACAATGACTCAATGAGTAATTGTAATGATTTTCAAATTATATGCTTGTTTTCCCCCCCAAAGCAATAGCAATTCTAGTTAAGAAAAGTGAAGTGATATCTCAGAATTTATGATGAACTATCCAACTTATTTAGTTTCTGGAACTGGAGAAGATAATAAAACTTGGTTGACAAAGGGTACTTTTTATATTTTTCAAAATGTGATTAAAATTGGCCAATGATTCTCTGGAGTCAAACCAGTTTCACTAAGGGTGGAGAATTCCTGAGTGATGGGCAGCTAAATAGAATTGCCAGGAATGATAGGATGAAGTTGTTTCTATTCACCGTCCTTGGCCTCCATGCCCTGATATACATGGACATTAGTTTTATATTTTAAATCTAGTGAATGTCCCCTGAACTGGTTTTTTTCTCATGGAGAAAATGGTGTGTTGCTATCTTGCCTGATGACTGCATATTTTCTAGAAGTTTTCTTTTTGACTCTGTGCAAATAATAAAAGATGTTCAACTATTTGAAAAAGTACTATTGGATGAGGTTTGGTGAATTTGAATCAGTCTCCATTTCCAGAAAATATCTTACATCTTAATAAAAACCCCTCAGAAACCATCCCCTGACTGTTTGGGGGAATACCTATGTCATTCTGTGGATCTTAAAGAAATGACTCTTAAATTAAATTAGATCAGTGGGGATACTTGAGCAACTTTAGCTTTGTGCTTGTGTATATTACCCCTCTAAATGAATAATGGAATAAATGATAAAGTTTTATATAGGATAATTCCACTTTCTGGCATATCTTACTTTTTCTTTAATAATTAGGACAGTATTTCTGTTCTTTGGGGATACCTCTTCCACCTCTGAGAGCATTGTTGTTGCATTGCAAAGCAACTGAATTGTATATAATTTGTGTATGACCAGGTGAAGAAAACTTCTATCCTTCCCTCGGAAAGAAAGGTTGGTGGGCCAGAGGTAAAGCTGCTGTTACGACTTGTGCTTCTCTATCACAATTTGCTCTTGTCATGGCACTAAGCAGATAATCCCCTCAGAATCAAACAGCAGCTGCTGAGTACTTTTTTTTTTCTTTTGGCTATACTAGTAAATTCACACCCACCGCCTTTTGACCTAACACATAATTATTTCTACTGCTGCAGCTTTTGCAGTTTTCAATTTGCTTATGTTGGCGCATGGCTGGTTGAAAAGCTGCATGCAGATGTAACTATGTATTCAGAGAGAAAATGAATTTAATTGTACCCTATTCTTTTTATGTTGTCTTTCTTCTCCTCTTTATTTTCTTTTAAAAATCACTATTATAATTTTGCATCCTTTCTTTTCCTTTTTTCTTTTTTGCTGACCAGTCCCCCAGCTACTTTCTCCCTGATACATATCACTTAGGGGTGTGCAAAGAACCAGTGTCGAACTTCCAAACTGATCCGAGAAGGCTGGCTCAACTAAGAGAACTTAGAGCCAAGTTTTTCCTTTCGTAGATAACAGCTGTCTTGACTGGATGGCAGAGTACAGAAATTGTGGGATTGGGGGAGAAAAACTTCACAATTGGACAATTGTAAAAAAAACAACTTTCCTTAAGAATGTCAAACGTATTTGTTTAATGTGATGTATAAACCTTCATGGTGGTCATTATTATTATTTATAATCATAATTCCAAAAGAGAGGGGAAGGGAGTATGCAGTTAAGTTTTGTGGGTTTTTGGTTTTTTGGTAGACCTTGGAGGCACATAAAAACTTTTATACATTTTTCTTTGCAGTCTTTAAAATGTATAGGATTAAGGTTTTTATTCCCTTGAGCAAAAGCTAATTGCTGTATTGAATGAACTGTTACAGGTTTTAAAATCTATATGAAGAGATATGAGTTTAACTATATTCTGCCATTCTATTTGTAATAAATGTAACTTTTCTGGTGGCAAGAAGAATGCCTTATTATTGGCTTTGCCCAATTGATCTAAGAAAAATTGGCAGCACCAAAACAATGAAAAATGACCCAAAATTCTTATATAAATATCCTCAAAGGAGGAATAAATACTACAAGGAAGTCCAGTGATTCCTTCAACTTTCAGGACTTCTAGTGCTCATTCATTCAAAAAAGTGATCTATTGAGTACTGTGTTATAAAAACTTTGCCAAGATAAATTGCCAAAGTAAGGTAAAATAGAGTATCCAAAAGATTTTCCCAAATCCTTTGCACATCCCCAAGTATCATTTTTAAGCATTTTCCATCTGTCATTTTGTTCATCTTTCTCTGTCTTTCTTGATCTTCTACCATGAAAGCAGACACAGCAACGTGCTCTGTTAGTGCAGGATGAAGAGAAAATTAAAAGGCAAGAAAGATCTACTGAAAGAGCTTTGCCCCAGCAAGAAAATGAAGAAATTCTTCCCAAGGTTTCTATTCCAATCCCTGAGGATCACAAGTTTTTCAAAAAGTGCCACCTCTACTCTAGTGCTTTTCCATCTCCTCGTATTCCTTTCATGATGTCTTTTCTCATGGTTCTTGCATTGGTTGTTTGGTGGTTGATCTTTCTGTGATTGGAAAAACAGGGTGCTCATCTGAAATGCCAAGACTAAAACTGTTGAACTTTTGTCATTGGCTTCTACTGTGTTATCTCCTGTATGATGCCCTCTGATCTTAATAGTTCACTGTTATAGGGGAGCTCTTGTGATCATTTTTCTGTCAATAAAATGTTACTCTTTATAGAAAATGTATTATAAGGTACAAAGGAGTAGGAATAGATTGCCCAACCCAGCTTTCCTCACTGAAATTAACAAGTTTAGACAAACCAGATTTAAGCATATAGCAGGTTGATACTTTCTCCAAAAGCTTTGGCTTTTTTATCCTGCATGTTTTTATTGTTTATTATTGCCATGTCCTCCTCTCCAATGTTTCACACAAAGCAAGATACTCTGTAGAAACATTCAATGGAACATTTTCCTAATCTTCTATAGTCATTTGTGTAGCACGGGCTCTGTAATTTAAGAAAAAATTTCAACTTGCTAACCTTTCAAAAGCCTTAAGATGATACGTTTTAATCTATGAATCCAAAACCACTCCTTTTCTTGAGATATCAAACCAGTATATACAAAGGCCCTTTTTGGAAAAGGGCTTTTGACTTCTGTGGCCTTCTTAATGTGTATTTCTGAGATGTACAGGGACAACTTTATCCTGCCTGGTGTAGAGAAGAGATCTGCAAAGGTTAAATGCCATCTTTTCCCAAATAAAATGTTGATGGTTTAAGGAAAATGGTGCTGGTGTCCCTTAGCCTCCAGCCAGGACTGAATTTCTCAGACTACTCTACTCATCTTTAAAAGTCCTGAAATACAGATTTATTCAAGATCTGTACATAAATACCCTCTTCTGAATTAAAATACTGTGTTGCTTCTTTATGACTTCAGTAATTATATTGCTAGAAGCAATATTTAGCTAAATGATAAGCTTAAATATATATATTGATATATTTTGTTTTTCTGATACACTTTAGACATGTTTGTCCTTACATCTGTGTTGAAAACAATTGTTTTTAATTGATGGTCTTGTGAGCTATAAAGTTCTGTCATGACAAGTTTGTGTCCTCTGTTTGCATGTTGATTTTTAAGGCTTTCCTGAAGTAAATATGAGTGTGCCCTCTCTTTACAATACAACTCGGATGTCTAACCTGTTATTTTTAACTTCTACTAATGAAGTCTTGCATGTAGCTTGTTTTTTTTATGGCACTTGAATGTACCAATGTGGATGATTTGGATAATGTTGTCTCATATTTGTTTTGAAATCTAAGCTCATAGGCTCATCAAACTGAGATTATTGCACTTTGTTTTACTTCTTAATGCTTTTAAGTTGATGAAACTGCTAAACAAGACTTTTTGTTTTTAAGATGATGGCTTCTTAGAGAAAAAAAAAAAAAGAACAGTAAAGCCAAGAATCTTTTGTCCTTCAACATTCACCACTATTGTTTTATTGTCTCTTTGGACATGTGGAAATAATCCCCTGGTATTCCTGAAAACTGCTACTATGTCATTATAAGCTTTCAAGAAAGGAGGGTGGGGTGGGCAAGAAGCGGGTTAAATTTAAAAATCTGATATGAGTGTGTATCTTTCATGTCACAGGCAATGTCTGTTTTACAACAAATATTTTATAATCAAGTATATGTATTGATTCACTCATAAAAAGCAAGAAGAAAGCTCGAGTCAACCCTAAATATTGCAACCTTCTCTAATCTAGAAGGTGATCATCATAAATACTCCCTTTTATCTGTGAGTAGAGATATAAGAGCTTTCCTTATGAAATAAACAAAACTATAGCATTGGTTTAAATTCTTTTTTCAAGGAACTAAAAGAAATAATCTTAGAATTTTGATTCTTTTATAACTGTTTTAGATTATATTTCCAGTTTTCATTCCTATACAGCTTTTTATTATTGTTATTATAAACTCTACCTGGAATATTGTTTCCCTTTGTATTGGAATTATTCCAAGTTCATTAAAAGTCTAGTATAAGCCAACAATACTTTTCAGTTTTCTCAAATTCAGCAGGAGTCCTCACAGATCCTTACTAATGTTGGAGGAGAAGGGCCAAACCTTTGTATTGGACTAAGCTGGCCAGTGTAGGTTCAAAAGATATACCCAACACAATTATCAGAGGAAAAATATTGGACATTACAGCTTTGTATTACCTAAAGTGAATGGTGCTGAGATTGGTAACATAAAGCTGTAAATAGTTTTGGTTTCTTTCTCATACCTCATTCCATTCTCAATACCAACGATAGATCCAAATAATTGTGTATTGGTTTTATACTGGTTCAGTTTCTTAATGGCAGATTGATAAGTAAAAAACAATTTGTAGTTAAGTTATTAATACAGACCAGTAAGAAGTCTTGAGTTTTTGCCTTGGTTTTGTTATTAATTATTTCTAGGGTGACTGAGAAGTTCACTTACTTTCCTGGTGCCCAGATTTCCACCTAGTAATGTAGAGACAAACCTACCTCATGAAAATGAATCTGTAACATATTTCAGGCACCAGAAGCTCTGGTTATTATTCAATTCTTGGTCTTCTGGGACCAGGAAGATGGAAACTAAAAAACAAACACATGTCGACTTCTTGAAATTTTTTATATGAAAGTAAGAAATTAAATAGCTATGTTTACTCCATCTACTCCTTATTGATATTTGAATAAGCACTTACAACTTCTAAAGTTAAAAATGTCTTTCCAGCCCTGACCGGTTTGGCTCAGAGGTTAGAACGTCGGCCTGTGGACCAAAGAGTCTTGGGTTTGATTCCAGTCAAGGGCATGTACTTCGGTTGTAGTTCGGTCCCCAACCCTGGTCAGGGTGTGCAGGAGGAAACCAATTGATATGTCTCTCTCATATCAATGTTTCTCTCTCTCTTGCCCCCTCCCACTCTACCTAAAGATAAATGGAAAAATATCCTCAAGTGAGGATTTAAAAAAAACACACACAAAAATTATGTCTTTCCAAATTCATTATATATACTTAAACAATTCATTTTATCCTTATGGTATACTTAGAGTGGGCTATACTTGTAAATAAAGCCAGCATCAATATTTTGGACCTATCTTTTAGCCATTTTCTGTATGAAGGAGATTCAGTTTGCATGGGCCAATTTTACTACTTGTTTACATCTTTGGTAAAAGTTTTGAAGGGAGAAGATGTTGACTAACATTAGACAGGGATTATCTGTGGATTAGATTTCCAGATCATCCAACATCCTACAACACTTCTTTCTATTAGATATTATTATAAATTTTACTCTGAAATTTCTGTGAATATAAGCCAATTCACTTTCTCCTACATTCCTAAGTCACTTCTGTAATGCTTCCTACAGATAAGCATATAGGACACACTAGGCATTAGAGGCATGGTCATTTTTTAGAAGACATTGCCAATCAAAATTTATTTTGGGGTTTTACCCAGTGATCATGTATTTTCAGAAGGAAGTCCTAAAATTCCAA